TCAAATAGTTCAATATTGCTGATCTTGGTTTGTCGAGAAGACACCTTGCGACGTATTGATGAGTTGTGGCTAGAAGTAATCCTCTTCCGGCGGATGACGAACAAACAGTGAGACGAATTCAGACTTGCCATTATATAAAAATTAATTTTTATATGATATTTATATTTATAATACATATTTTATATTAATAAAATTATTATAATTTCTTGTTAAACTATGTATTTCTTTACATAAATTTAACTACATAGCAAGTCTTTATTGAGAGTATTTTTTATAAGAATTAAGTTCTATTTATAAGAAAATTTTAAATTATTATGATTAATAATTTTCCTAACATTTATTTTTAGCACAAACAAATGCACTTCATTCGGAAAATGCTATAAGAATAATACGATTTGTATATGATTTTGTTGTTTTGGAAAATACAACAGATGAAAGAAGGTTAAGTGAAAAGGTTTGAGAAATTAACTTGTTATTCTTTACAGTTGAACCTCCTATAATGAAGTAGATATGTTCCGCTTTATAAGAATTTCGCATTGTAGGAAACCTCAAATACATGAGCCAGTCACAGCCCGGCACATGTGCAATTTATGGACTACGGCTGATTGAAAGGTTTTCTTCCATAAAATTAATCGATTATAGACTAATTTCACTCAACATTTCCAAAACACATATACTTTTTTGGGAATAATCTGTATAAACTATGCTATAAACAAAAAATTGTAGGATTACTTACCGAGTGTGCCCCATTTGACTACACCATTGCTTAAGCTTGTTTTCGTTGCGGAGCAGTGCACCAAACGGCGGCTGCATTTTCTGATAAGTTATTTTTCTGCGAAAAATTCGTTGAACTTTGGAGACATCATTAATAGAAATAATTTTTATGACCGTTGAATGTTTTTTTCACAAGAAATGTATAAAATTACAATACTGTATTAGACTTACAGTACATAATTTATGTACTGTACAGACGATAGTAAACTCAACTTATCCGCCTAAACTCTCTGTAGCATGTAAGTAGTTCAGCTGCTTGTCCACTATTGGTCCAGATTCGACCAATCC